CTAAGTGTCCACTGATGGATGAAAGGAAAAAGAAAATGTGGAGAATTATTCAGCAAAAAAAAAAAAAAAAGGCCCTGGCCAGTGTGGCTCAATGGTTAGAGTTGGCCCTTGCACCAAAGGGTCTTGGGTTCAATTTCCAGTAAAGGGCAGTACCTGGGTTGCAGGTTCGACCCCTGACCCCGGGGACTGAACCTGCAACCAATCGATGTGTCTGTATCTCTCCCCACCCCTCCACTCTTGCTAAAAATCAATAGAAAAAATATCCTCGGGTGAGGATTAACAATAACAACAAAAAAGAAATCCTGCCACTTCTGAAAACATGGGTAGACCGTGAGGGCATTATGCTAAGTGAATAAGTCAAGACAGAGAAAGACAAATACCATATAATCTCACTTTTATGTGGATTCTTAAAAAAAAACAAACCCCAAGCTCACAGATACATAGAACAGACTGCTAGTTGCCAGAAGTTGGGGTTGGGGGGGGCCGGATAAAATGGGTGAAGGGGGTCCAAAAGGTAAAAACTCTAGTTATAAAATTAATGTCATGGATGTAATGTACAGCATGGTGACTATAGTTAATAATACTGTATTGCATATTTGAAAGTTGATAAGAGTAAATCTTAAAAGTTCTCATTATAAGAAAAAAACTAAAAAAAAAATGAGGTCATACAAATATTGTTTTGCACTTTTTTCTTTTTAATATATTTGTATTGATTTTTTTAGAGAGAGAGAGGAAGGGAGAGGGAGATCGAGAGCCAGAAACCTCAATGATGAGAGAGTCACTGATCGGCTGCAGCTCACAATCTGGGCATGTGCCCTGACCGGGAATCAAACCCCGATCTGCTGGATCCTAGGTCAATGCTCAACCGCTGAGCCACGCCCGGCTGGGCACTTTTTTCTTTTTAAAATATATCTTTATTGATTTCAGAGAGAGGAAGAGAGAGGGAGAGAGAGAGTTGAAACATCAATGATGAGAGAGTGGTCATTAATCGGCTGCCTCCTGCACACTCCCTGCTGGGGATCGAGCCCGAAACCCAGGCATGTGACCTGACCGGGAAAAGAACCATGATCTCCTGGATCCTAGGTTGATGCTCAACCGCTGAACCATGCCCGGCTGGGCTGCACTTTTTTCTTAACCCCCTTGCCGACCAGCTATTTCGAGTCAGAACTCGCCTGTGTGGCCAACTACTTTGGTCAGAAGGTATTTAAAATTACTTAAATTAATATAAGTGCAGATACAAGTTATCTTGTGACTGGTCAGCAACATTCAGACACAGAAACGTGTATACCCATGGCCGGTCAGCAAGGTGTAGTGTTTTAGAAACTTTTCCATGTCAGTACCTAAAAATCTGCATCTTTCTAATTAGCACATACTGCTGAGTCCCGAAAGATATACCCTGCTTAATTAACCATTCCCCTAATGACCTCTGGCTTCACAACTTTTTGCATTATAAACAGCTGTCTGAAAATTCTAGTAAATATTTAGTTGTGTATTTTATAAGCAATTATATCTCTAGGCTACACATCTATTGATAAAGAAATCTAGATTCTAGGTTATATGCATTTAACAGGGTTAACAACTACTGTCAGATTGTCCTCCAAAAAGGCTATGCCAACTTACACTCACACCACTAGTATGAGTCCTCATTTTGCCATACTCCTAAAAGCACTTAGAAATCTTTAACATTTTTGTCAGAATGCGGGCAAAATAAATGGTATTTTATTTTAACTGCATTTCCCTGGTTGTCAGTGAAGTTGATTACCTTTCCAGATACTATATATTATCCATTCTCATTTCCTGTATAAATCTTCTGTTCATTTAAACTGAAATATTCTAGATCTCATTGACATCAAAAACTTGGTAAATTACAGCTTTAAAATTATACTCTTCTCAATTCCCTACATACTATGGATTATGCAAGGCAAATCTTAAGAAATCTTAAGAAAGTTTATTGTAAAAATGAATGTTACCAAGCTTTGTTTCTGTTAGACATTTTCATAAGCACCTCATCTATACTTCAATCCTCTAAGGTTGGTACTATAAATCTCTCTTATACACAAGTAAACAGCAGCTGCTTACAGAGGTTAGTTAACGTGTTAGCGAGTGACAAAAGTATAGTCTACATCTGAATCCAGGTCTTCTGATCCCCCTGTCTGTACTATATCAAACTGTTTTCTAGGCTTTAAATACTCTTAACCTTTCTTCTTAAAACTCTTTCCTCCTTTGGTTTCTATGGTACATACAGTCTATCCCTGATGTTTCTCTCGCCTCTCAAACTATTCTTCCTATTTCTTCTGCAACTTCCTCTTCCCCTTCCCTGGGATTTCTAGCCTTCATCTTCACTTGAAGGTCACAACGACACTCTTATTAAACAAGAGAACCTTAGGGCACTCAAATATATAATAATAATGAATTGCTGCTCACTCATCACCATGACTCACGTTACACCACTCTCTGTTGTTCTACAGCTGACATTTCTCAGCTGACCGACCTCCCTACCCACTTCAATCCGTTAAGACTGGAATTTACCAGAGTTCAGTTCTTGAACTCCCTCTTCCTACCCTAGAGACTCTCTAACACAAGTTGATCCACTTCCATGAGGTCAACTACCATCTATTTGCTGATGGCTTTATCTCCAGCTAAAGCTATTCCCTGAGCTTCAGACTATATGTCCAACTGGGAAAAAAATCCATGGGTGATATTTCAAAACTACATCCAAAACTAAATTCTTACCCTCAAAACTTGTCTTCCCTTTTATATTTCCTTTCTAACCAGTAATCCAAGACAGAAATACAGGGGCCAATCTAAAATCTTCCTTCCGGTTCAAAGGATTCTGTCTCCTTAACGGTTGTAGCATCTGTTCCTTCTCTCTGTCCTTGCTATGTTTCTTCCTTACCTTGTTTCTCATCTGAATCATTTGTATATAGGAGGTCAAAAAACTTGTTGAGTAAAAGAATAAACACACTTGTCCCACTAAGGGCATGAACCATGTCTGAATTCGTTTTGGAGACCCAGAACTGAGTTGACATGCCACCCCAGCATATCTACTAAATGAATCATTCCAGGGTTCCCATGCTTGAATCAAACTCTTAGAGAGTAAGACTCAGGAATTCATTTTTAGCAACCTTCTTGATGACTCCTTGATAACCAATCCAGTAACAGCCTTTAACAACCAATAAATTAAGTCCATTCTCGTTATTCTCATGATAAAAGGAAGCAACGTTAAACAGATGTAGAATGGAATTAAACAACTTTCTTGCCACCTCTATGTAGAATAGGATAAACAGATCTCTCACAAACATAATGTCGATAATTCTTAAATCATCTTCTACTATAACCACTTTGTCTAACTCAGCATCCTCACTCAGTTAACATACTACAACAGTCCACTTCCACCTTGTACCACCACAAACTATTCTCTAGACAGCAACCAGAATGATCTTTTTAAACAGCTAATACGATCATGCCACCTTCCCCTCACCCTATCCCACATCGAAGCAATAGTTTCTCCCAGCATTTTAAGAACAAAATCCAAATTTGTTACTCTGGTTTACAAAGCCCTACTTAATCTGGCCTCTGCCTAACTCTCCGGCCTCATCTCCCACACTCTACTGCTCTGTCTACACTGTAACGACACTAGTCTTTTTGTTCCTAAAATATACCAATCTTTTTCCAGCCTTAGAATTTTTGCATTTGCTATTTCATCTGTCAAGAATGTTCTTCCTGATCTGATCATGACTAGCCCCTTGTTCCTATTCAGCCTCACCTTAAATGTCACTTCTCAGGGAGGCTTTCTCCAACTATTCAATCAAAAGTAGCCTCTAGTCACATGCTGGGACAGCACTCTATTTGAATTTCCTACAAGCATTTATCATAAGCTAATTCTCCATTTATCTGTTCATTGTCTATCTTCTGCTCACAAGAATGTAACCTCCATGACAGCAGTGAACCCACCTTGGTAGTAGTTCATTATTTTATGCACAAGGCTTAGAACAGTGCCTAGCATACAGCAGGTGCTCAATACATATTTGTAATCAACCTACTCTTATTTGAGGATCATTACTATATGAAGTTTTGACTTTACCAATGAATAAACAACAAAATTTCACCTTTTAGTAACTATAGCCATTGAATAAACCCAATTTGGTGAATAGGAATGTAAAATTCAAACAAAATTATTTTTTAGATCTTCTAAATCAGGGAATTATAAACAATAACCAATATGTCTAAAAATTACATTCACACCAAAATCAAGTTATATTTTCCAGTCACCAGTTTAAAAAAACTTTAAAGTTATAAATGTACCAGCATGATGAGAGGGGGAAAATCCAATGTCAACCAACCAGTAAACAAAATATCAAATTGTGGCATATCCATACAATAAAGCAATAAAAAGGAATTAATATTTACTGATATATACAACAACATGGCTGAGTCTTAAACTATGTCTCAGTGAAGAAGCCAGACAAAAAAGAGTACGTATTATATGATTCCATTTATATAAAGTTCTAGCACAGTGACATAAAACAGATCAGCGGTTATCTGGGGTTGGGGGTAGCAAGACTATAAAGTGGAACTAGAAAAATTTGGGGAATGAAGGACATGTTTATTATCTTGATTGTGGTGACTGATTAGTGTAAACATATGACAAAACTTATCAAACTGTACACTTTAAATAAGTGTGACTTACTGAATGTCAATTATACCTTAAATTTTTTTTTAATCAAATCAGGTACACACCCTTGCATAAAATCTTTCAATGGCTCTCCATACTTTAAAAACAGAAAATCTGTTACAAGCTTTATCAGCATTATAAGGGATAACCATTTAAATGGAATGAATAGCAAACTAATGTCATAAGCTGACTTCCAATAGCTAATAAAAACCAGATATACTTCAATAGATTTTCATTTTTAACTTCAACAAGACTGTAAATAGCAAATTCACAAAAAATTTAAATTTCTACATCAAACCTAAAAATGTGATAAACTCTCAATTACCTGCAGAAGGTGGTGATTTCTCTGGGTGCTTTGCATTTAAAAGTTTTCTGCTAATAAATATGTAACCACAGGGACATGATTTACATGCAACAGGAACCTGTAGGAAAAAGAAGAAAAGTATATATCATTACTATTTTTCTATTGTTAATCTTCTCAGTATTTACAAAGTCTCCTGAACTGAATGATAAATTACTAAAAATAGGAATCATAGCCAGGTGTGGCTCAGCGGTGGAGCATCAGCCTAGGATCCAGGAGGTTGTGGTTCCATTCCAGGTCAGGGCAGGAGCCCGGGTTGTGGGCTCAATGATACCCGGCAGGGGGCATGCAGGAGGCAGCCGATCAATGACTATCATCATTGATGTTTCTATCTCCCTCTCCCTGAAATCAATAAAGATATTTTTAAAAAAACAACAAAACAAATTATTTGAGATGGGTATTGTGTCCTACACATCTCCATACTCTCCTAAGGCTTTACAATACCACCAGTATAGTAAATGAATGAGAAACATGTACTGATGTAAGTGACCAATAGAAAAGCATAATAGGATCAGAGCCAGGGAAAATATGTGGAAAAGAAAGGTAAAATTTCTTAAAAGATTAGTTTGACTAGCAGTTTATACAGAACAAATTGGAAAAGGGAACGTGGCTGGGGAGTCCAATCCCAGGATGAGATTATGAAGGCCCAACTGGAAACACTAGTAAGAATGGAAACTGGGAAAAAGTAGATCTCTGCCAGACACTGCAAAAGGAAGAACTGAAAATGACTCAGGTTCTTACATGACAAGGTAAGATGCCAATTACCAATGACAAAAAAGAATAGTTTACAACAACTAGTTTGAGAGCCAAAATTATATTAAGAACAAAACAGAGAGAGGGTAGGAGAAAGTAGTAGTTGAGATCTAGGGTCATATAGTCTCAGCTCCAGAAAGAACAATGGATAAAACAATGTGGACCCTGAGAAAGAAGGTACCTTCTAAGAAGGGTTCCAGGTGGCTAACTGGGCTGAAGATTATAAAACAAAGCCTAGCAGTTGTTTCTACACAGGGGCCACTCACACAAACTATGCTTCAGGGAACCAGGGAACCACACTGCGTTCCTGCCATCTGAGCCAGCGCTTATAAAGGAATTCCTGGAATTGTGTTTCAACCAATAGGACTAGCCTTTCCCTTACAATTGGAGCTGAGCAGCTACATAGCCATTAGTATCTTCACCAACCAATCATAGTGGCTCCATTCTGACCAATCAGAACAGTGCTTTTGGGAACAAACTATGAAAATTTGGAGTCCTTATTTGCATAAGGATGAACCAATCACAGACAAGGGGCGCCGACTCAGGGCTACATAAGTCAGCTCCCCCTGCTTAGCTCTGGGAGCGCATTTTTCCTTTCCACTAAATATTCGAGGCTGTGTTGTTCTGGCTGGAGCTGAAGCACTGAAGATAAACCGCCAAAGATGCCTCCCACACCAGAGTAGAGAAGAGCAGGCAGAGCAGGACAGAACAGAGCTGTCTAGCCAGACAGGGGCCTCACTCGCCCCAGTGCCACCTCACAGTTGTGCCATTCCACAGCTGTGATACTTCATAATTGAGCTGTAACACTGTGCTGTATATCACAATTGAGCTGTTTGCAGTGAATAAAGTTTCTTTCTTCACCACACCCCAAATTGGGGATTACTATTGGTGCTGAATTGGCGCCAACAACAATCAGTTAACAACATTTAAGCTCTTCAGGCTTCTGCTTCTAAATCTGTAAAATACAAATAGTTCTTTCTCCATTTCAAGTCTATAAATATTTTTTAAAAGTCAAATGTTCTTGAAAATCATTGAAAACAATCTTTACATTTCCCCCAATAACTGTTTTACTAAATTAACCTTAATGATCCTTGGAATCAAGACATGTTAATCAAAAACCAGAAATTAATCTCAACAAAAAGTACTCATAGAATTAATTAATTAGAAAATTGCAATTCCCTTTGTAAGATAAATTAATTTGCCCATTGTTCTGCTTGTTAAAAGTTTATTTACAATCATAAAACTTTTTATATCCATGTATGTACAGAATGCCTCATATTTTAAAATATATTTTAATTAAGCTAAATAAAAATTTTGGCAGAATTCTTTCTTTGCATAAAAATACTGAACAAATGATATCTAGCTTGAATTTAAGAAAAATTAACAAATCCTATAAAAATAATCAAACTCCAGATATATCTAACAGCTTTCTTTGTTAAAAACATGATGAGTCTCTTTCAAACCATGACAGAAAATGTAACATTACATTTTTTTAATAGTGTAAAATCTGCCCAAAATAGATATGTTTGTCATTTTAAAAATTTCACATCTTCATAGAAACCAAGCACAAAGGTACTGACTCATTTCCTTTACACTTAATCACATCATTAAGGGCATCCACAGTAATATAAATTGTTTTAAATTAATACTATGCAAAAAACACAGAAAACATGATATTCTTATTCAACAGATCCTTTGCTACTCAGCATTTTCTTCCAGTTACTGAAATTCAGTAAATTTCAATGTAAGTCTCTGTCTGATACACACAAAAAATTTATCAACCCACATCCAAAATTAACAAAGAGTGCTACAGTTAGATGAGAAATGTACATTTGGCTTTGGGATGAAGAATGCACAAACACTGTCTAATTGAAAGGCTGACTTTCATCCCTTAATGCAAGTGTTTTATGCTCAAGAAATATTCAATGCACCTAAGCTAAGTCACCCTAAAGTCCTTTTTTAAAATAGCAAGTTCCTTCCCCCAA